TCCTTGTTGGTAACAAAACTGATCTTGTTGAGAAAAGGTAGCTGTAACTTGTTCATTCTCGTTTTCCTTTTCCTTTTTGGAGGGCGTGAGGGTGAGAGAGGCTTTCTTTTTTGATGTTTTAGGCTTTAGCAACTTTTCGGCTAAATACCAGAACATTTACTCCTGAAAGGGCTAAAAACACAACAAATATTAGAGCAATGTCATCAAAAGCAAATCATGAAAAAAGTTATATCTGTTGGAGCTTTAAGTGCAAAGTGCAAATAAAGCGAGGCTTTAACGAAGAAGGATGCAAATGAAGAAAAAACTATAAATACATATCTTATTTAGGATAATACCTGTAGGCACAAAATGCTTATATATTAGTGGCGGAGCCAGAAATTTTAGGAAGAGTGTCCAGGATTTTTTTGGACAAATGAGTGTACTAAAATTTTTAAAATGTGAAAAAAAGAATTGTTGCTATCGAAATTTGAACACACGAACACTTTAAGTTCGCGTGTCTTGGCTCTTTCAAGGCGCCTGAAACCATTGGGCTACAAGATGTTGTTGTGTTAGGAGTGTCCAAAATACGTTATTTAACCACTTCGTTGATAATTTTACTTGTATATATGGTATAATTTTCCGACATAGAATTGGACACCCTGACAAGAGTGTAGCTCCACCCTTGTGATATATGACAAAGTAATAAAAATAAATACATATTAAGTGATGTAGTTCTTTTTTGTTTGTGGTGCCCTCTTCAAGGTAGAGCCTATAGGTGATGAGACGGACTCCTTAGCTCTTTGATGCTTGAATTGAAGTGTCAGCCGAGCGACGCGACTCGCTCGGCCTGTTTGTCCATAGCTTTAAAGTTTGAAGGTACCTCAAGCAAGCTTTGACAATTTGTATAAGAAGTTTGATAAATGTGTGAGGGGAGGAATTTAAAGGGTTTAAATGACTAGTTTTTGGTTGTAGATTCTAGGTATCAAGAGGTTTGAAGTAGTTTGTCTATTCTAGATATTTAGGATGTAATGCAAACATAAGTTAGATAATGTCATGGCCAGCTTCAAATTCTAGCGTCTTAAGGTTGTAATTCTTGTACAGTTACACGTGCGCTTGAAGTTCTTGGTCATCAAGCCAAGGGAAGAAAACCCCTCTTATATCTGCAGGAAACTTGAAGATATCTTATTATTACATAACCCATAGCGTAGTTGAATGCAACAATCGCGTGTTCATTTTGGTTGGATATTCATTTTTCCCCCCTTAAAACTACAGCTATCTATATAGGAATTGACATTGTGGAACAGGAAAACTTAGGGTCTTGATATTTCTTTGGTCAGAGAACTAGCAAAGTAAATATCCAGAAATGAGCTATGATTTCCTTTTATAAATGTTTTCGTTCTCAGTTAATTTGTAAATACTTGAAACTTGTGTAATATAGCGACTGAACTGACTTGCTAGTTTTTGTTGTACTTGTCTATATGTTGTTGTATGAGTTCTATCAACACTTATCCTTTAATAGTAATATAGATTTAGTTTATTGAGCTATATCGGGAACTAGGAATCTTTTGACTAAGCTGGAGTGGGAAATTGTTAGGGCAGGTGAGGTTCTTATTTTCCACTAGTGCTCTGGATCTTATTCAGGGATTAGTAGTTGGGATGCCTGTTGGTCTGGTTGAAGTAGATGTCTTTGTGCAACCATATGCAGATTTACAAGAAAGTGTTAAAAGGTCCTGGTTTTTATCATTGACTGCAGATGTGAGCTGACAGTTGTGTGGTTATGTGACTAGCTACCTGTATAGGTGCTTTTAGATTCGTCCTTAATGAGTTTGTTTAATAATTGTTTGTTAATGATCATTCAGTATATACGTACTATATTTCACCTTCTAATTGTTGGGTAGGAATAGTTTTAGCATTATCTGATCTAAATAGAAACTTCCTTAGCAGAGCCTAAGTAAATCACTGGGGCTCAAGTGCAAGGATTCTTGACCTTTTTCACTTATCTTGTTCTGTAAAAGAGGAAATCTGCATTTTCTCATGGAGTGGAAGTAATTGTAACTTTTTTTATGTTCTTCAAATTCCATTATTTGTGGAAGAAATAGTAGACAGATTTTGAGAATTTCTGATGGTCCATTATGTTGATTTACTTAAAAAGCTTAGGGAATTGTGTGGGGTACACCTTTCTTTTGCTGCGAGCAAAGAGTAGTCTGTGGCTTTGAGCCCCAGGAATGATTACATATTAGTGAGCTTGATGTTTTGCTGTCTACAACTGGAGTATTGTGTTCTTATGAGTAGTGTTATTATTGCTATATGTAGAACAGGATTCTCATGCACTCTTTTATCCTGTGGCGAATTGCAGGCAAGTTTCAATTGAGGAAGGAGAAGCGAAAGCTCGCGAACTAAATGTGATGTTTATTGAAACCAGTGCAAAGGCTGGTTTCAATATTAAAGTAAGTAATATTAGTTTCTTACTTTGCTTCAATAAAATGTGAAAATGTGTTATCTTTTCGTATGGAAGATAACAATATGCATCATTTGTGCATTTATGCTAAGAAAATCAGTGCTTTGATGTTATTTTTCTCAACTGCTTGTTCTTTCATCCACTTGCTGTTTTGTTGCTGATAGTGCATATTCAACTTTTGCAGCCTCTTTTTAGGAAAATTGCAGCAGCATTGCCAGGAATGGAGACACTATCTTCAGCTAAGCAAGAAGACATGGTTGATGTCAATCTCAAGTCAAGCAACTCAAGTGCATCCCAATCACAGGCACAATCAGGAGGATGTGCTTGTTAATTTCATGGTTTGCAACTCTATAGTTTTCGACTCAGTTTTATATTTTGTTTTTGACAACAAAGTATTATCTGTAAAGTTCTTTGTTGACTTTCGTAAAATTTGAATTTTTTGTTTTTGTTTTTGGTGTTTGTTAAAGTTGGACACAGAGGTTGTCATCCTAGTTGAGTAAAGACTTAGTATGTTTTCACTTATTTGTATCAGTCTCTAGACCTATGCAATTTAGCAGCCCCCTTATGGAACAAGTCTATGTTATCAGCTGATTCATTGCAGTTTTGTAATCAGAAATTTTTGGTTGGACGTTCTTGAGTGAGTAATGGTTGTACGCATTGAAACTTTATTTGTACCTCATATGCAATTTTTCCTCTTTCACAAATTAGTAGGGCCAAATTTTACACTTCTGGTTCCACAAAGTTTGGCTCTGCCAAATTATTTATTGGTTCATACAAAATTCTAACCTGACCCATTCGTAACCCAATCCATTACAAAACCCGTTTAAATTTAATACAACTAGGTGATAAAATCCATTTTTTCACTAGCCGATTTCAATTAATTTGTGTACCAATATAGCACAGGAGTTCAAACCTAGACCTCAGACCAATAAATCATGACACCATAAACGATAAAGATGAGAATTTTTTTACAAATCTGTCACTGTTTATTTTAAGCATTCATATTCTCAACACTATATTTGTATCAATACCTTATTCCAATTCGTTTCTCCCTGATTCATGTTGTTTAAGAGTTGATAATTATTTTATATTTTTGAAAAAAAGTGAAAGTTGAGGGTAAATTTGATCAAATAGATGGAACGAGAATATTCTTTATTCAAATAATTTTGAACTATTTCTAATAAGTTACTCCTTTTGTCTCATATTAGTTGATCATTATACTAAAAATAGTAGTCTCATATTAGTTGTCCACTTTACTAATTCAAGAAAGCATTAATTAAACATTTTCTATATTACCCTTGCAATTAATTCTTTTTGAAAGTATTCACATTTATTTGTAAAATTACCAAAATATTTTTCAAGAGGTGAATTAGTAAAATTATCTTCTTATTTATGATTTTTTAAGCACCGTGCTTTTCACTCTCAATTAAGGCTCTTTTGGGTGGGAAATTTCACAAAAAATACTCAACGAATCCTTGGCTTCTCGTATAAGAAGAGAAAAAAATAGCAATCTTTCTTGCACTTTTGATCTTTTCCACTTTAGATGGTGAATCTAACCATATTTATCCAATCCCATCAAAAAGTACCCCACTAATAACTTTCCATAAATATCAATTTATATGAATTTTTTTCTATCAAATATGTGTTTGTGCAACAAAATTTCTCAAAATACACTGCAACCATAAAACAAATAAAAAAATATAATTTTATTTATTAAGATTGTGGATTTACAAATTTTAGTAACATATTTCTTGAACTAGGATGATATGACCTCACGGATCTTCTTGAAATTTTTTGGTTGTTCGAAGTCTAGGGCGTATTCAGGATGAATTAATTAAAATGCCAAAAGTGCTACCAATAACCACTTAGAGAGGTATTACCTAATTTTAGAAAGAAAAATAAAACAAGATAAATAAAAAATTCAAATTTCTAATCTCACGTAGAGAGAGGTGCATCACGTCATCATCGCATTATATGATACTTCGAGTGTGAATTCACACGTTAATTTCAATAATTTTTTTAAATTATAATACTACTATATATGATCTCGGGAGGAAAACATGAGTTCACGCGATGTCCCCTTTGAATACGCTTCTGAGTCTCTCTTTGTGATTATTTCACGAACAAATATTTGAAGTTTGTTCTAAATCATAAACTTTAACAAGTTTTACTTTATTTCTTTTTTAAAAATTTATGCTTAATTAAATGATGTCACGTAGATGTACAAAATCTATCATCTTTTCATTTATATTCCTCACGGGTCTCTCTAATAATTCCCCCACGTGTCCCCTCCCCATTGGTCCATAACCAGCCACCCTCAATTTCACTGTCTCTTACTACTTTCTTTATCATTCATGCTCATCATCTCATGACCTTTCGAAATATGCCTTCAATTTGCAACGTTACTTTATTTATTTTTTATTTTTAAGTTCGATATCTATATTGAGATTCGGTTAAGTTAATTTAATATGTATGTTTTTTTCCCTCCTAGTTGGGGTAGGGTTGTAGTAGTAATTTCGTCTAAAGCTCTCTCCTTTAAATTTGGATTCAGTTTATTATATTAATTTCATTGAAGGTCCGTTCTTCTCTCTAACTTGAGGCTTCTGTAGCCGCTTGACCAACTTTTCCCCTTTTCCACCATGACAGGTCCTCTCTTTCTCCCCCTTTTTACATAACTAGATGTGATATTCTTATTCATTCTTTTGTGGGTTTTCGTTTATTTATGGTCAATGGGTTATATCAATTCGAAAAATGGATTCTTGGGGTTTCTATGACATCATTTTCTGTTTTCTGTCTGATCACTTTGTTCTTGAGTTATTACGTATTGTGGGTTTTGTTATATGATAAGGGGATCGATTGTATTCATTTTGGATTTGATTTGATTTTTGTTTCTCTAATTATGAATACAGAATTGATTTCCAGTGAAGCTCTCCATTAATTTGAGGAAAAAATGTGATTTTTTCTTGGTCAAACAATAAATTTAGAAGGAAGAATGATAAAGTGGAAAGGTCTTTTTGTTTTCCTTTTGTTTAGTATGAGTTTAAAAGTTGAAATATTTTCAGCTCTAAGCTATTGCTGAATCATATACTTAAAGAATCATAATTTATCTGAAGTAAAAGTCATTTTTTTGGTGAGTGTATTGCAGTTTGCTCTAGGGTGTTTTAATGCCAATGAAATTGATCCATATTAGGCCATAGAGTCCTCCCTCACATCTTTAGTACACCTAAGGAATTTTAAGAAACAAACTTTCTACCTCCTCCAGGCATTCGTAAGTTCTGCATACACTCTACCCTCCCCAAGTCCCACTTTTGGAACTATATATTGGGTTGTTGTTGTTGTAAGAAGTATTAAGAAAAGGTTGGATTGTTTCTGTTTGGTAACGACGCATAGTAGTAGTAGTTGTTGTTGTTCTTGGATTACTTCCCAATAGTTTCCATCAATAACTGTTTGTGCTTGTTAAAAGCATCTTTTTACACAAAGTAAGTATAAATTTGAGGCATGTAGATAATGAGATATATAGGGATGGCAATGGGGTGGGGCGGGTTATAGTATTTGCGGGGAAAGAGATAAAACGGGGGCGGGGCGGGTTATAGTATTTGCGGGGCAGGAGATAAAGCGGGGGAGGGACGGGTAAGCAAGTTAGGGTTTGATATTGATTATTCACTAATGGAATGGTTCTTCAAATACAAATCGGGAGAAACCCCATTACTCTCTTTCCTTTTTTCGCCCCCATGTCGCCACACGGGTACATAGGGATGTAAAAAAGGGGGTCCAATCAACTTGTTCCGACCTAGGATAATAAGCTCATGAGCTTGGTCTTACTTCACCATCGAGAAAGGAAAGAAGACTTCCATCTCCAAGTTTAACTCTCAAGACGTAGCTACTTTTCTTTTTTTTTGGGTGTGAAGCAATGTCAAACCAAAATACCCAACAAGCATTAGCTCTCCCTGAAAAGGAGGTGATCCAGCCTCGCTGATATTCAACAAACTGAATGATTTATTACTCACCCTATGATAGTCAAGATCAATGGAGACAAGAAAATGTCCAAAAGAGTTTCAGACGTTTGTTACATATGTTAATTAAGAAATTAACCTCAAACTAAATTGTTGTTTATAATAATGAATGACAAGATGATTTGAAACTTATATAGGCCAAAGTTACTTTTTGTTCTAATGAAGAATTGATATGGTTAGAAGCATCAAAAATGTTGGAGGTTCATGTGGGGCGGATTCATGCAGGGCGGAGCGGGATGGGGCAGGGAAAAAACAAAACAATTATGCTATGTGGGACAGGGCGAGGCAAAGTCTTTGCGGGTTTATGCGGATTTTCCCTGCACCCGCCCCTTTTGCCTTCCTTAGAGATAATTTAGAGGAGGCAGGACAAGTGATCACTTGTAATCAGTCTATCTATAACCTCTGTTGCGTTATGTCTTTGATAATTTGATTGGTTGTGTTCTTTATGTGTTGATACCATACTCATTATGTCCATGGTTGTTGTTATAACATCAGATAATCAGCAACCTATTTTGCAAAAAGATGATGCACAGCATCCGCTGGCAAAGCTAAACCGTCTGCACTTTTGGCTTCTGGTGGCACTCAACATTGTTTTCCTTCTCTTTGGTCAAGCTGCTGCTGTAATTTTGGGAAGATTTTACTATGAGAAGGGTGGAAATAGTAAATGGATGGCCACTGTTGTCCAGACAGCTGCTTTTCCTCTTCTTTTCATTCCTTACCTATTCATTTCTTCTCCTCAAACTCATTCAGAAGCCTCCAATCAACCTTCAATCATCACAGTTAGCGTGGTCTATTTCGTTATTGGTGTACTGGTTGCAGGAGATAACATGCTCTATTCAATTGGTCTATTGTATCTCTCCGCTTCTACATATTCCCTTATTTGTGCAACACAATTGGTTTTCAGTGCAGTTCTTTCTTACTTCCTAAACCATCAAAGGTTCACAGCACTGATCATGAATTCTGTTGTCGTGCTCTCGTTATCTGCCTCTCTTCTTGCTGTTAACGAAGATTCTGATAAGCCTTCAGGCGTAACTAAGTCTAAATATGTCATTGGATTTCTAGTTACTCTTGCCGCTTCAGCTATGTATGCTCTATTGCTTTCCCTTATGCAGCTTTCATTCCAAAAGGTTCTAAAGAAAGAAACGTTTTCCGTGGTTCTGGAGATGCAAATTTACACAGCAATTGTAGCCACCGCTGTCTCTACAGTGGGGCTATTTGCTAGCGGAGAATGGAAGACTTTGCATGGGGAAATGGGTAGTTTTACTGCTGGAAAACTTGCGTATGTGATGACTCTGGTTTGGACAGCTATAGCTTGGCAGATTTGCTCAGTTGGGGTTGTTGGTTTGGTTTTCGTGGTGTCCTCATTGTTCTCTAATGTCATTAGTACACTTTCCTTGGCGATCACTCCTATTGCTTCAGTCATGATCCTCCATGACAAGATGAACGGTGTGAAGGCAATCGCCATGCTGATGGCAATTTGGGGATTCTGTACTTACATATACCAGAATTACGTCGATGATCATAAGGCAAGCAAAGCACCAAGCGCAGTTGATGCTACTCCAAACGAGTCAAGATCTTGCTGAAGGCTTTGTTGCCTGGTAATTATATAGGCTATAGTTCTGGAACACACAGCTAAAATTCTTTTCATACTTGTTTGTAGTTAGAAATTTTGTTATATGAAGAATTTTCATTTTACAAACGCCTGTTAAGTGTTAATAACAATGACAATTTAGTGGCAAAATCTTGATTTTATGTCATTAATTGATAACAGTGATCAGTTCCAGTGGCAGAAGAGGTTTTATTATCTTTACTTAAATGTGAGGTTAAGGTGTTCAACAGATGGTAAATAAATATTCTTGTCATGATTGTTGTTAACTCTGTATATATATAGTAAATAAATAATTATAGTCAACATAAAAAAAGCGTGTTTGGTACGGACAAAAAGTCGTCAGAGCTTGACCCAAAGCTTTCACATCATGTAAATGATAATTTGATAATTCCTCCGTTCCAAAATAAGCGATATTTTTATTTTGGACATATCTTCTAAGAAATGATTTATTTTTAAAAAATAAAGAGTGTTTTTATCAACTTATCCCTGTGAAACTCAATTTATTACTTAACAATTTATTCTGAAACAAAATGGAAAAGTTAAAACTTAAAACACCATTTATTTTAGATCGGAGTAGATATAAGCTATTTTAACCCAACAATAAATAGACCAAGACGTATTGACGCTACAGTATCGTGTCGGCTTTATTTTACTATATCTAGAAGATTATTATTGCAAACAAAGACAGTCTAATTATTACTTTGTATAGAACTACTACGATTTAAGAAAAGTTTTGGATAACATAGGATACCAAAAATATTTTTTTAAAAGACACTTTTTTGTTTAACATGTGTCATGTAGTCAACAAAAAAAGTTTATTACATACTCAAACAAACAAAGAAAAAGATGAAATTTAGTAAAAATTAGACAGATTGAGTTATATGACCAACCCATTTATTAACAAGGGTTCGTTTTGACTCGTTCAAATTCAATGAAACCGTTATCCACGCGTAGTAGCCCCAGTCTGCATCACGTCAATAACCTTTGTTGCAATTTGATAGCATGAGTAAACTTCATACATTGCAACTTTGACTTCTTCCTCAGACAAAACAGCAGAGGATTCCCACTTATGACGTAGTGAACCATTACCAATAATTGGTCTCATAATTTCAACGTCAACTTCAAGCATCAACTCTTCTAGTGTACTAGTAAGAAGCCTAGGCTTCTTACGTATCTGAGCAGCCAAATACCCAACATCCACCACTGTTTTAAAATCGAATTTTTGATAAACACCACTCCATGTAAAAGATTTGTTGTTAATATGTCTAGGACCAACAAATGTTATGTTTTTGTCTTGCAAAAATGAGGCCAGAAAACTTGGAACTTGATATTTATCATTCAAACCTAAAATACGATTGTATTGAATGATTAAACAACGTTTTTTCACATAGAAGAGCAATAAATCACCAGAATTGACAACATCAATTCCAACAATTGGATTTGGATCAGCCTTCATATCATGCCTTAGTTCAGAAATACCATGGCTCATCGTCGCTTCGCGATCAGCAACTCTAGTAATGACATTTTCACCCCCAATTTTCACATTGTAAATGCTCATTTGAAGAAGCCATGGAAGGGGTAATCTCTCTGACATTTTTTTTTCCACTTCATTACATTTTTTTTATAAGAGGGGTATTGCATTATATATAGGCAAGATAAATTAACTTAGATATGTATAAATATACATATATACACAAAGCGTTACATCTTGTTCTTGGAAAATTAAAGTCTGGGAAGCTAATTCTTTTTCAACCACCCTATGGGTTGTTACATTGAGTTGAACTTACAAGTTTGTATAAATTCATGTCAAAATGCCTCAAAATTAACACATTAAGCACTATACAAGACTTCATCACTAGTATAATATATAGTATTATATTATTCTACATGAATTGACATATAAAAAAAAAATCTACTAGAAAAGTTTCAAATTCAAAATTACCAAGTTCCTTAGGAGTATGTAAAACGTACTATGTTCATGAGGACTTGAAATTTATAGGTTAGTGTAGCTTTTTAAATAAGGAGAAAAATAGAGGCATAATTAGTTAGTGCATTTTTTAATCATGTAAAATTAGTGTAATTTGTTTGTGGTTTCATCATCATTATCTTTGTATTAATTAGTGGTTTCTCTTCATTTGTCATATCGAAATTGGTACAGACAAGCAGTAGCTCAATTATTTTAGGAAAATAATAAGATTCATCATGTGAGATTGTTATTTGCTTACAATATCATCAAACGTGCACCCCAGTTGTTGTCACAGGGGTGGATATTCTAGAAGCACTAACACACAAGTTCACGAGAATCAATAACTTTTATTCGAACCCAATAAATTGAGAAATCTTTCAAGTGGTCTTTAATATTTGTTATTTCGCAAAATCAATGCATAAATGACATTATTCTTCCTATTTCATCCTTGAGAGTTATTAGCCTTGAAAATATATATTTGACCAACATAGAAAAACTAAGTAAATAATTCATGTTTATTAGTTAAACATTTACCTAAATATTTCAAAATAAATTAATTCATGTTCATTGATTAAAAACTTGACTTTAAGAGAACACTAAATAAGGATGTAATGGTGAATTTACCTAATTTCTTAAGGAACGTGACGTGAAATCGAAAATGGTTACATATATATAAGAATGAGGCAGTGTGATCTTAATAAATTTTAAAAAATTATAAAAGAATAAATAAAGAAACTAAAATTTAGTAAAAATTGAGCATATAGGATTATGATTCGTTTTTAGTTCATTTTATCTCAATCAAAGTACACTTTAGACAAATCAATAACCGTACCATTTATTAATACAGTTTATTTTGATCAATTCAAATTCAATCTACAGCGTCTACTAGTGAATGAGTGTAAAAATTGACTAATTGCAATGAAACGACTCGAATCGTCGTTAATTAGGAAAGACGAAAATTTGGGAAAAATCTAAGCCACTGTCCTGCCAGAGCGGGCCAGGTGCTGCTAGGGCGGCGGCGCCACAACGGGATAAGTTGGCGCCATAGCGGGATAGGCGAGGCAGAACGTAATTTGCGAGAAATTCTATTTTCTCCATTTTCCTAAAATATCTAAATAAGTCATAAAACACCCTAAAAACCTCAGAAAAGCTACTCTAAGCTTGGAAAAGAAGGAGAAGGAGATTTCTAGCGTGAGGATGGGGAAATCTTGCGGATCCTTGGACAAATCCACCGAATTGAAGTCAAAACTCCGTGCAACTGCTTGGCACCCAGGTAGGCTAGGTTTTATGAATTTAGTAGTTTAAATCTGTGCTCATCACGTGATATATGTAAATCAATGGTAGGGCTTATGTGTAGACCTTCGCGCACCGAGCGGATTCCATGGGAAATTCCTAGAAATCAAGTAATTAGGTTTATGTCTTGAGAAGGGAAATTGGTGATTTGTTAGGGCTTCTGGAATTGCTATCTTTGATAGAATTGTTTTCAAGAATAAGACGATGAAGTCATGAATGAAACTAGATTTATGAACATATGCTAGACTATAAATTGGGGTGATTGATTGAGGAATTACATGAACTGTGACTAAACCCTAGAAAGAAGTTTTAGATGATGAACTAGGGCTAAGCATGACAAATTAACGTATGTTGATAATGTTGCATGGTTGATAACACTTGTTGTGAATAAGATGGGTGAATTATCATTGACATGAAATCATGACTTAAATGTATGATCTTGAGGATATACTTGTGTTTGTGATTGTGATGTGTTGAATCGATCGGTTGTCACATTCCGGCATAACTAACTTGGATCGGTTGCCACGTTCCGACATAAGTATTGGATCGGTTGCCACGTTCCGGCATGACTATGGGATCGGTTGCCACGTTCCGACATAACTAACTTGGATCGGTTGCCACGTTTCGGCATAACTAACTGTTTGGGTTTGGGTTCCATGAGAGGACCAATGATGTGGCTTAATTGTGTGACTTGAGAAGGGTGTTAGTCGTTCGTAAATGTTGATGATAATATATATATATATGCATGTGATTATATTGTTCATTGACTTATACATGTTGGACTTGTTGGGTATAGTGGAAGGGTTGAGTGTTAAGAGAGCGTGATGTAATGTATTATGTGACTATGGTTGGAAAATATGACAAGAAGTAGGGGTGTGACGTGATCGGTTAGTTGAAATGTTGGTGGTTATATTTGGGGAATTTTCTCTACGTGTTAGTATGGTTAGGCTAAGATCAAGTGCCTATTAGGTAGGTTCATGGAAAAGGATGTAAATAGTCAGAATACTAGTGTATATTGGAGGTATGCCAATTAGGGGGTAAAGGTGGAGAAGCGAGTGTTTATTTCATGATCTTATTAGTTGACTTCTTATATTATGTGGTGGGCGTCGGGTTGACCGATGATGCCTACCAGTATGCGTGATTTATACTGATACTACTCTTGCTATGTCTTTGACATAGTCTGGATGCAGGATTGGTGACGTTTCATTAGGTGAAGACGAAGAAAATCTCCAGCACCTTCTATTCTTCCTTCCGCATGGTGGGAGATGTGTCTTTTATTTATTTGTCCAGTTGTACTCTTAGTAGTTCTTGTACCTGTTTAGACTAGATCCAACAAAGTTGTTAAATTATTTTGTAAGTTTTAACTAAAAGTGCGTCTAAGGATATTAATTATAAAATCATGTTAATGTAATTGCATCTGTTTTCTTTAAATTTTTCGCATGTTTGACTATTGGGATATGAGGGTTCACCTACTTAGGTGTTAGAGTGGGTGCCCACACGATCTGATGGATTGCAATATGTAGAAACACCTGTAGGATTTCTTTAAAGGCTATATACCTTAAAAAATAAGGTGTAGTGTGAATCGGGAAATGAAGGAAAAATGAAATTTGAAGAAAGTTAATTTCTTCCTCATTGATAGTGAAGAGGAGAACTTCTGTACTTACAAATAGAAGCACTTCTTCTAGCTTTTAAAGAGTTAGAGAAGAGAGTATCCTTTTGTCGTTGTCGCTCACTCGATTTTGACTTTTGATAAACTTTTTGGACAAGATTAATTTTTTAATTTTTCACTAATTCATTTCCTTTTAATTGGTAATTCCCATGACATAAATTATTTAATTAATTTTTTTTAATAAGAAATGGCCACCTCCTTTTCTGAATAGAGGTACCTTCGCATTTGTTAGTGACTATAAAATTTTCAGA